ACCACGGGCGCATTGATTGTGACGTGGTTCGAAATGCATTTTCACGATGTTGCAATTCCATAAAAAATAAATAATAACAATAAAGCGGTTTAAACCTAATAAAAGCACACAATCTATAACATGTATTAAAAATCAGATATTTAGCCATTATAACAATTTAAGCGACCGTGCTAGAACCACGAGATTCGGGGGTGCCTAACACATTCCCTCGGGTCAACAGAATTCCTTACTTAGAATTTCTGGTTCGCAGACTTCATTTGGAAAGTCGAAAATTTCCTCGATTTGGGATTCAAGATAAAACCGGTGACTTGGGACACCAAAAGACAAACCTTTCCCAAGTGACGACTCTGAATTAAAGAAATAATCCCATTTCGAATATTGTCACTTAAATTGGAAAAACTCCCTCCTGCATTTACCCTTCGGGGCGGGCGCGCAAAAAGGAGGTGTGACAACTGGTCATTCAAAAATAGTCAGCGTTTACCAACTCAATAAAAAATAGTCATTATTTTGCTGCAACAGAGATCGGTCCAGCATAATATACTGGAGTTCGGTGCACCTGTGTATGAACTCCAGCATATTATGCTGGACCGGGATACTTTGCTGGCTCTAGTATAATATACTGGAGACTGGAGCATCGGTACTCCAAACTCCAGTATATTATGCTGGACCGGTATACTTGCTGGAACTATAGTATATTATACTGGAGTTCTAGTGTACTTATGTTGGAACTTCATCATATTATGTTGGAGTTCCAGCATACTTATCCTGGAACTCCAGTATAATATGCTGGAGTTCAATTATACTTATGCTGGAACTCCAGCATAATATACTGGCATATTTTCCGGGTTTTGAACAGTGTTTTTGCTCAGATTTATCTTTACATGAAAAGTGGCTAAATTTTGATTACTTTTGAAACTGGACTATTTTTGAACAACCAGTTGTAAATCTGACTATTTTTGAATTTCTCCCTCTGAGAGGTTGGGCTGGTCCACAGCGACAAGGTACATGGGCTATTCATTTCCCTTCTTTTCTAGTAGAAATGGCGTGGGGTAGCCACTGTTTAAGCTGGTATTTACTTTTTATCCAGCATTGTTAATGCTTAGCAATAGTAGCCACTAGTTTATTAAAATTAATATGAAAAGACTGAGTTACCCTTTCTTCTATCTCTTTTCCCAAACGAAAATGCAGTGTATTTATACTGTTTCATTTCCGCATCTAAGGTGCGCAATCGTGTATTCGGAACCTCACCTTCACCAATTGATAATGAAGGTCAACGAGAGCACTAAATGGTACGAACTTCTATTAATGCTACTGAATGTTAAATGCCTTTGGTTATAGTTCTTGTTGATAAGCTAAACAAGTATGAAGAACATAAGGGAACGATTACAAAAGCAAAGGGAGAATGGGGAGAGGTTCCAGATTTTAAAAAAAGATTAAGATATAACGTTGTGAAAATAAGAAAAAGAGTGATGAGTAAACAGGAAATGCAATTCCTTCCCAGAAGTTAAGGACATGTAGTCCTGAAGTCCTAAAGTTAAATTCAAAAGTTAAAGACATGGTCCTGAACTTAGAGTTTAAAGTTCAAAAGTTAAGGAAATGTAGTCTTGAAGTCCTAAAGTTAAGTTCAATAGTTAAGGACACAAGTTCTAAAGTTAAGGACAGACAGTCCTTAACTTACAGTTACAAGTTCTAAAGTTAAGGACAAACAGTCATTAACTTACAGTTACAAGTTCAAAAGTTAAGGACAATAGATCCTTAATTTTGATTTCCAAGTTCAAAAGTTAAGGACAGATAGTCCTTAACTTATAGTTACACGTTCAAAAGTTAAGGACAAGCAGTCCTTAACTTACAGTAACAAGTTCAAAAGTTAAGGACAATAGGTCCTTAACTTTGACTTACAAGTTCAAAAGTTAAGGACGCTTGGTCTTGAAGTTTGAGTTCCAAGTTCAAAAGTTAAGGACATGTAGCCTTGAAGTCCTGAACTTAGAGTTCCAAGTTCAAAAGTTAAGGACATGAGCAGAAGGGTATTTTCGTCCGGGCACTTAAAGTTTATTAAAGCAGTGGCTAAAGACTAAAGACATTTTAAACGATGACTTAAAAGTAAATACATGTGTTATTAGTGGTCAAACGTGCACTTACCCGCTTTTCTAAGCCTGGTGATTCTGGCTTGCGAGGTAAGAATCCTCTTTTCGTAATTAATGGTTATTATAATAAGGGGTAATTCCCACACCATTCGTATCCCCTTAGATGGCTCTATGATTTTACCTGGAATTCGAAATAGAGAAAATTCTGCTAGAAGCTTTTTCCCGCGCGAAGGAGCTCTGAGAATTTCCCTAATCAACCATGGCTCCTAAAGCAGATAACACCGAAGGTAAAAATCCTATCCATTTTCCTCTCCTTTAGGTTCCTCTTCACTATTAGCTTTTATCGCCGTTGAATTTTTAGCTGAAAATCGAATTGAATATATTCGTATTTGAAAAATCTCTATTTACAGATCCTAAATTTATCGATTTTTCGTGTTTGAAAATTTACAGGTATCGTGCTCAAATTCGTAAACGAGGTAACACAAACTATTCCGTTTTGCTTCCATTTGTCCTTTTTAATTTATTTTTATATGCGGCTCTTCACCTGCAATGTGTAAATAAAAGTAGTTAGAAAAAAAAGCCTAAGATTTAGATTATTTGTCGTTTATACTGAAATTAGCTAATCGTAGTGTGCTTCAGCGGTATAGGTATTCAATTGGAAACGTTAATTGGAATATTGCGCTTAAAATTAGCAGAGTTATGTAATAAAAATTATCAGGAAAACTATAAAATAATGTTAATGTTTGGATAAAGGAGTGAGAGCTGTTGTTAGTCGAACTAATTAGCTTTTCTTTCCCATTTTATGTGGCCATGTTTGATGCGTACTGAGTTTTAGTGAAAAATGAAGACTTATGAAACTTGTGGTACAAAACATGTAGACATTTTGTGGCTGTAAATCATCTCACTAAGATAAAATGAAAAATTTACAGTTAAATTAATTTTAAATATAGAAATATGTCATTCTTTATGGGATAGACTAAAAAGGAAAGTCTGCAACATAAAGTGGAACAGAGGGAGAAGTATATTTGCATTCTCTGTAAAAATTTCTTTCAAAACTTTAGAGAATGCAAGTGGAAGATATAGATGAATTATAGCTTCACTTGGAGCTTAAATTGTTGTTGCTATGGGTGTGTGCACAATATATTTCCCTTTTTTTACCTAAAAGATTGTCTTGACAGAGGGTACAGCTCATCAATATCTGTAATGTTGTTCTCTTTCTTGTTTGTTTTTCAGGATAGCTGTCATTTGTGCTATCATTCCTAAATCTTGTTATTGCATAGAAACATCCCTGCAAGTTTTTTGTATTTTGAGTTATACAGTCTCTGATTTTCCTTTTTTCCTTCATGGTGTTTAATGTAGCAAAATAGACCATTGAATGTCCAAAATGTGGCAGATTCACTGCAAAAGTTTAACCTTAAAAAGGCTCCAATACAAAAAGTTCTGGATAATCTCTGTGACAGTGGTAAGATATCATTTAAAGAGTATGGCAAGCAGAAAATCTATTTGGCTCGGCAAGATCAATTTGACATCCCGGACAGTGAAGAGCTTAACAAAATGAAGGAAGAAAATGCCAATCTACAAGAAAAGTTGGATGAACAGAAGAAAGCCACCAGTGAGGTTGAAGCAGGTATTCTTAATTGGTACTCTTTTGCTGTTGTCTATGAGTTATTAAGACGAATTTGTGTGAAGTTATTGAATTTGATATCTTCAACTTTGATGATTGAGTGTCTTCACTTGTAAACTATGATGGTGCTTTGCAGAAATTAAGTCTCTGCAGTCAAATTTGACCCTTGAAGAGATACATGCTAAAGAAGCCAAACTGAGAAAAGAGGTAGGATATGAAGAATCTGAGAAACTCTCTAGCATATGGATCTGGTCTCCAGCATAACTTGAAAAATAAACTAACTTCTTTATCGTTTCAGGTTGATGAGATGGAAAAGAAACTAATTAAATTGCGGGGAGGTGTAACCCTGGTAAGTCCAGAAGAAAGAAAAGCCATTGAGGGGTTGTATTCTGAAGCCTTAAATCAGTGGAGAAGGCGAAAAAGGATGTTCAGAGATGTATGGGATGCCATAACTGAGAACTCTCCCAAAAATCCTAAAGAGTTTAAGGTATTAATCAGTTTGTCTTTGTATTGGTGCTTGTTCATTGTCAAGTATACTCCTAATTTTCATGTGCATTTCAGGAGGAACTTGGAATTGAGAATGATGATGATGTTGGTGTGAATTTTCAGTCTTTTGCTGACCTGATGCAAAATGGCAAGAAGCGTGCTAGAGGCTAGTGACTATATTTACATGTTACGCTTTATAGGAATATGCTTGATCAAATGTTCTATGAGTATATATTTGTAGACTTTGAAATTGTGTAGTCTTGGTATTTTCGTAGTTGTTAATCTTCCTTTCTGAGATTTCTGTCGGCTTTACTGTCATTCACTACCTTCCATTATATACATTATTTGACTTGAACTGTAAGTGATCTTAGGTTCAAAACACAACTGAAATGGGATCGGAAGTTTGACAATACAGGACAGACTGAAGAAACTATTAAAATGTACTTAATATATACAGCAATTCTCGGGTACTTTACATCTTCAAGATTGCCATTGAGCTGCCACATTGCTGGGGTAAACTATATCTGTTTAGCCTTAAACAAAAGAAACTCATATTTGTTTGCAATTTTAACTTGCAGTAATTCTCATTTTTTTTTTATTTGTTCATATTTTATTGTGTGTTGTTATTACAGCTCATCTATTATTTAAAGTGGCGATTGAAAAATCTTCCCTATGTGCTTTTCGTGGTCTTCAATTTATCTAGGAGCTTTCTGATGCACCAGCTCATACATTTGCTGAAAGCTAGATGGTGTGATGGACTGAATTACAAGCTCTACCTTCTTTCATAGCAATAACAGCTCATAGCATCAAAATTTTAACCCTCAAGAATCAACAAAGTTTAGATAAGACATCATATAATTTGTCCAGAGCTCATAACTAAATAACCAAAGAAGGAAGCTACATTATATTGTCCAAGCACAAAATATATGCTCAAACTTACAAAATCCCATCAAAAATAAAGAAAATATGAAGCTATAATATATTAACAAAGCACACAATATATACTCCAACTCGCATAATCTCTGCAAACTTTTATTGGCCCTTAGTCACCAGTGATAGTTCCTTCTAGTTCTCACTGATATTGGCGTCTTATTTATGTCTAGGTTTTCTGCACCTTGCTTTGTGAATCCTTCAACTTCCTTTTCATTTCCTGCTTGGTACCCTGGAGAAATTTCATTATCAGTGAAGTACCAAGAGTTTCTGCCGGCCCCTTCGATAGAAACATCCTTGCTGTTTGATTTCTCAGAACCAAAAACTTCACTCTTGGGACTTTTCAACGACGGGATTCTGCTTTTCTTTCCAACATCATCGATTTCATCGAAGATTACACCATGTCCTGGACGTATAACCTCATCATCAAGAATGTCATCTGCTGAATCAGAACTTGAAGCAGAGACTGATCTTTTGAACTGCTCTTTAAACTTCCTCTCTTTGAGTTCTTCCTCCTCATCTCCATCAGGGAGTTGGTTGGCTTCAGAATGAAAACCATAGTTCTGAGTAGGCTGGATTTTCTCAACTACATCCCCAACATTCATCTCCTTATTGTTCTTCTCCTCTCCTGCACGAAACTTGGATTTTAAATCCTCACGATAATCTGATACAGCCCTTGGCTTCTGACTTGGACTATTTGGGTCATCCGGATCACGCGATTCAGACCGAGAGAGTTCCACAGCTGCTCTTGCAGCTGCTGCTGCATAAGCAGCAGATTCAAAAGCTGCTTGAGCTGCATCTGCTACATCTTTATATTTTCTCCCAACTTCATGGTCTCCATCTTGAGGTAAAACTGGTATGCGACCTTCATACCGATATTCTCCTGACTTACTTGATAGATCTCCCTCAGGCTGGTCCTGCCTTTTCACAGTATCCTTCTTCTCCTATTATCAACAGTAAGAAAAATAATCAACTTCTGTGTATTAATTCTTGAGTGAGTTTGAGAATTGTCAAAGACATAAATTAAGCAAAAAATATTATGCCTCTCAAGCCTCTTAAACTTTATGGGATGAGATGGTCACACGAGCGAGAATTTCGTGGACCTGAAATTTCTGGAACATACCTCTGTAGTTTCCAAAACTGCTTCCTCAATTTGCAAGACAATGTTATTCTCTGAAGCAATTTCCTTCAGTACTTTGGTTCTATGTTCTAAGCTAGGCATCCTCGTTGACAGCTTTTGAATCATCTACATTGCATGAAACTTCAAGACATTAGCATGCTGTTTATTTTAGTAGATGTAGTTAGTACCAAATCAGGTGTTCTAATAATATTACCTTAGGATTTACTCCACAATTGTTTCTTAATTCAACAGCACGAGCTGTGAATTCTTTCCCAAACCTTGACGTGAAAATAACACGAAGCTCTTGAAGTTCTGGGAACTCGCCACACCTTGAAGCTGCATAAATCAAGCTCGATATTGCCTCCTTCAATTCCTCAGGACAAACTCTACAGAAAAAAAACATGAAAATCTCAGTAACTGAAGTACTGTACACAAAACAATAGATCAAATGTTGAACGAGAAGCAAAGTAAAAACGCATAGTACTTTTCATGTTCCAGAAGGTTGATCCTTTCTACTAACAGAAGACAATAGCCTTCTACCATGACAAACACATCCAACATGTTCTGTTCCTTGATCACTTGCTCAACCTACAAACACACGAATAATATAAAACAAAACGCAATAATAAAACTAACAAAAGACAACAACAAAACCCAGTTGGATCTCACAGTCTGGGGAGGGTAGTGTGTACGCAAATCGTACCCAGGATGGGGTAGAGAGGTTGTTTTCGAAAAACCTTACAATCAATATCAACAAAACTAACAAAAGGGAAGTAACATATTCAGTCGAACAAGATAACGAGTCTAACAAAATGATCAAAATCATAGTAAGAATGATACCCTCAGAAGAGCTCTTTCATGGTGTCCAAGGTTTAAGAGCTGAACCACATCGGACCGCGCGATCGAGCACCGTGCCTGACGCTGGTTCTTGAGTACAGCAAGCCTAGAAATGGCAAGATTGGCAGTTGCTTTAAATCTAGCAGTCTTGAAGTTTCTTCCTAGTAAGGCATCGAGTTTTTTTCCCATAGCTACTTCCCTTTCACTTCTTTCCTCAGTCTCTCAATAAGAAGTGAGTAGTAAGTAAAAGAAAGAGAAACTCTTGCAAATTTGAACACAAGAATTTGCCTTTCTTTAATGGTTGTTGGGAGAGACTATAAGATAGGAACAAACGAGCCCAGGCTCATTTGCACCTTTTATGATGACGAAGTATGAAAGTTATAGAATGTGGGGAAGATACTATGAATTTTAAAGTAAATGTTGGGGAAAATGTATTTTGTGGAAATATAAAATAACCTTAAAGTAGCGTGTGGGGATTTTTCTTATGAAGGAAGTCTAATAGAAAATGGAAATATAAGAATTTTAAACGCGGTTAAGGGGTGTATATCCTAGAAATTGAGTGATTTTTGCGGCTTTGAAACGGTCCAATTATGTTTTTTTATTAATTTCGTTTTGTTCCCACTAACACAACACAAAAAGAAAGACAGAACAAAAATAAAAAAAGCGAAAAAAATAATTTAATGAATAACAAAGTTTGGAAAAATTTAAAAAGTGGAAAAAGTTTTTTCCTTTACACTTCTTTGAGAGTGGACAATTGCTGGAGATAATGAGCAAAGATAGAAAAGAAATTTAATTACGTGAGTATGTGTTTTGGCTTTTTGTACGACCTGAATTAGTTGGATCAAATAAGAAATTAGAAATCTATATTTCTTTTGTTTCGCACGAAAGCTTACTGCAATAGGAACTAACTCATATTTAGTACTACTTGTAAACATTTAGATATATTTGATTTTTAATAATCTGATTGTGTACGTATAGTTTAAATAAGAGTATATTTGACTCTACAAAAGACTTGTGTAAGATGACTATGCATTTACATAAAATTTAGAAAAAATCATTAAGTTTAATAAATGGAGAGAAGGCAAATTAGAGAGTTATCTGAAAATGAAACCCTATTTATACCAAAGATCACATAAAATTGCCACAAAAGCTAGTGAAATAGTCCTTGAATGGTTGTGTTAGGTCACCAGCTTATTCAAATCTTGTTGAAAACTCCTGATTAGCAACTAAATGGAGATGCTAATCACTAGGTTTCTAGAACCTCAAAAATTAAAACTACTTTGCACATCATTAGGAAACTTATTAATTGAAACTAAGTTCCCAAACAATTTATTGTTATTATGTCCTAAAGTACCAGTACCAAAAAGAAAACAAAGGACTACCAATACATACAAAAAAAAAAAAAAAAAAAAAAAAATTTTTTTT